TTAAAAAACAGAGCCGCACAGTCATGAATTAAAACTCACAACAGTTACAAAAATACATTTATTCGTTAGAAAGTGTTAAGTTATCTGATGACAGACTCTTCAAAAACATCTGTAACTTCTTTGCTTAGTCTTAGGTAAAGGATTTATTTCTATAAACTATTATGTTTTAAATAATTAAGCAATTTTAATATTAAAACAACGTTTAAAATCATGAATGGTAAAAGATTTATTAAATCATACATGCGTTTCAGTATTACAATGGTTAAAACAGATTTGATTTTATCTGACAGAGATTACGTCGTACTAAAGAGGTAAATATACTGTTAAAAGATTAAATGTCAGACGACAAAAAAAATTTAAGTAACGATTTCCAATCTATTTGACAAATGTGGTATAACAATATTAAAAAAATTTAAAAAATTATTTTTTTTATTTCACTTTTTATTGTTAATGTTTTCTGCTTTTCTTTTTATCATTTTTATACTTTCATCTTTCCTAATATTTTAAAGTTTTATTTATTCTTTATTTATTTTTAATTTTGCTTATTTCTAATTTTCATTCATTCCATCTCCTAGCTGCGTATTTATCGCTTCAGTATGACGTAACTTCGATAGGATTAAACCATTCCTGTATTTAATCCTACTTATGAAGCTGTATCATTGTGACTCTGAAACGCGTATTGGTTTTAATTATAATTACCATTTATGAATTTGAACGTTGTTTTTAATGCATTTTATCGCAATGCATATTTATCTCAAGGAATTACTCTCATAATATTATGATGGAAAAAAATGATTTTCGAAAAATCACATTCAGTTACAAGCAATATTTCACCAGTGGGGTGAAATGACTTTTTATTTATTTCTTTATTGCATTCTTAACCGAATTGAAAATATTTAGAAACTTTGATAAATTAGGTAAATAGTAACATTGATAAATCGTTTTTATTTATTTATTTATTCATTTTTAAATTAACTCTTTCCTCAATAAATTTCTTTCGAGAAATACGACGTACACCCAACTCGTAGAAATAAAAGTTTGAAGACGCTGGGAACTGACGTAAGTTAGACGTCATCTTAAACGAATAAAATATCAAACCAGTTTTTGCAGAATTTTAGAAATAAATCATTCATGAAAAGCAGAAAAGATATTTCTCCAGTTAGTAAAGTTTTTAAAGTTTAAACAATTTTAAAAACTCGTTTATTTATTTCTTGCCTTAAACTTTGCTTCTAAAGTAGATTGCTGTTACAAATCTTTTCTAAAATCAAGTAACATCTTGATCAAGTTTATTAAAGTAATAATAAGCATCATGATTTCTTGATCAAAATGTATTTTTTCACTCAGTATAAACAAATAGTAATTAGCATGATTTTACTAATCTAGAAGCAGCAATTAATTAAACCAGTATTTAAGAAATATTTAAAAATAAAATACGAATAGAAGGAAATTAATTATTTAGCTTTAAAATTCAATTTCTGAAAAATTATCTAATTTAAATTCTATAAAGTGAAAAATTTCAAGCTAAATAACGAAAAACTGAAACAAAAAACTTTTTTTCATTCAGATTTATATGAATTAGAAAAATCAACATTGTTATGTACCAAAATTAAGTATTTTTGTAGTACTTAATCATCGGATTAATACTAAGAAAAATAGTTTACTTGAAGCTACCAAAATATGGAAAAATCAACCGTGTTTCTGGTTCTAACGGAGCATCAAAGAAGTCGATAATTTTACCGAAACTTTGGTAATAATTTTGGTAACATTACCAATAAAATATGGTTTCATAATATGAGATATAATTTGGCTAATCTAGTGGAATTTGGTTATTTTATCATGATTCATTAAAACAGGCATAAATCAATTTATTTGGTGAAATTTACTTTTTAGTTTTCAATTTTTTAATAAATGTGTGATAATACGAACTATAATTTAGAAAACCTGAATTTCTGGTTAGCCGTTACCAAATGGAAAGGAAAAATTAGCAAATGAAGGGTTTCATTACGGTTTATTTTTTATTATTAATCAGAATTATGTTGCGTCACCCTCATTATGCGTAGTTGTTTAGGAACTTTATCGTGTAAAATGCATTTAAAGTAGAATTAATATTTATGAATATATTTTTTTATTCATAAAATAATGTTTTTCAAAAAATCTCCTCTAGATTTTAGTAAAACACTACATGATCTGTTTTTACCTCCTTCTTTGGAATTTAATATAACATACTACTTATTTCTTTTTCGTAAATGCTTTATTTTTTATCATCAAATGCATGAAATTAAATTAAAGGCCTTCACATTTTTACAGCCCATAAATTGAATTTTCTTGAAGGTTTTCTATACCAATTAAATTTTATAGATTTCAGGTGAATGTTTACGTAAATAAATTTGACGGAAATGTATTTTTTATCATATAAAATGAGAGGAAAAATAAAATTCTTCAACAAAAAAGAAGATTTCTGTTTAAGTTGATGCTGAGATTTATTTTCATTAATTGGATCCTTGAAAAATAAATAATTTTTATGTAAATATTTTGGATTTAAAATTACCATTAAACAGAATTCTCCAGTATTTTAAATCTATTTTAAAACTTTGTCGAACTATAATTTGCACAAGCTCGTACAGTTTTTTTTAAATTTATTTTCGCGTTCAGAAAATTAATGTAAATTTAATATTCCTAATTTTCTGCGCAATAAGTTTAAATTATTTTAGATTCCTCCGCAATAATTTCTAAACATTCAAGACAACTTATTTTGACAACCTATTAATATCCTGAATAATGCAATAATCTTGCGCGATAGAGAATGATATCTTGTAGGGAGAAAATGAGTTTCTGAAATTAAGAAACGCTTAATAAATATTGGTAACCTTGGTCTTTACTTTGGATTTAAATTCCAATACTCTAAAAATTTCGTGGTTTGTTGTTAGTGCCAGTCTTAATTCCACATTACAAACGTTACCAAATATTAACCTGATGAAAGCTTTACAAGAAACAAAAAACAATAAAATAAGTGTCGGTTACTTCGGTGTTCGCTTTCGATTTAAAGTTCCACCACTTTAATAATTTCACGGTTTGAGATTAGTGCCCGTCGTAATTTCCCATAAGAAGACTTCCAAATTTCCCACAAATAAAGAAAAAATTAACAAATATTAATCGTATCAGTAACAAAAATGCTTTCAGAAATTTAAATACCCTTAATAATATATGGTTGGTTAACTTGGTGCTTGCTTTCGATTTAAGTTCCACTCTAATAATAATTTCTGGTTAGAGATTGTTGACCGTTTTAATAACTCGTAGAAAACTCTCAAATCTCCCACAAACAGAAAATGTTAATAATTTTAACCTTAAAAGAAGCCAAAAAGTCTTTTTTGAACTCAAAAAGCCCTTAAATATTAGTGACCACGGTGTTTGTTTCGATTTCAGTTCCACACTAATAATAATTTCCGATTTGAGATTGTTGCCAGTTTTAATTACTCATAGAAATCTACAAAATCTCCCACAAACGATAAAAGTTAACAAATATTAACCGATCAAAAACCTTACCAGAAACAAAAAGTTTCCTGAAATTTAAAAAAAAAAAGAAAAAAGAAACCATTTAATAAATTTTGGTTACCTTGGTGTTTGAGTTTCAATTTAAGTTCCACTCTTATGATAACTTTGTACTAGATTAAAATTGGTATTGTCCTTAATTCGTCATAGCGAAACTTCTAAATCTCTTACAAATGAAAAAAATCAACTAATATTAACTCGATCAAAACTTTACCAGCAAAAAAAACTTTCCTTACTCTTAATAAATGTTCTGAAATAAATGTCCGAAAATAAGTGTGTCTCAGGGTGTTCGAGGTCCTTCATTAATCTGAAGTTTTATTTATTGCAAACTTAGAAAAATGTATCTCTCTGACTATGCTTTATACTGGTATAAGCATTTTAACAAATGTTAATTTGTAATCTGTTCAAAATTGGCATTTAAATTGTTTCTAGGAATCAGTAGGTATTATGAAAAGATTTTAATTTAACTTAAATGGACTTCATAATCAAAGCTTGTAATTAAATAAAATTGTACTCATTAAGTTTATATTTATTAAAATTGTTTCGAAAGCAAAATCCACATCATTATAAAATTTTCGATACTTTCCCCTTATTCAATGTTATCGGAATTTCCTCTATAATTCTTAAAAACAGTTGTAAATTAACTTAAATTTAAAAGTCAACATTTGGTAAAACTATTTTGAACTATGCCACACTTCTTAATGAAAGGGGAACTTTATTTTAAACTATAAACATAAGTAGAATGTATTCTAAAGAGCAAACGGCAATTTTTGAGGGATCAGTTGCCCAAGAATTTTTATCAACGTTTGTCTTTTATAAAACCGCTTTTTAAGTGTTATCTTGACTTTGGTTTATTATAAAAGAAGATTATCATTGCAAATCCAGCCGGCCGAAGACTCCCCATGTAGTAAATGGTGTCCAGTACACGTTAAAGCTGGCGGGGCACAAAGTCCTCCATGTTCCCATATCAAATTAATACCTTTGAGGATACTTAATAGGAAATTGATAGTTCTCTGGTTCAGGTCAAAATTACGATTTGTGGACGAATGAATGTTTCCGCCCTATAAACGAGCGTGACGTATCTGTGTGTCAAAAGTCGAATTCTTGGCCAAAGATGGCACTACTGAAAAAGAGTAAAAAAGACACATTTCTGCCTCAATGGCGGAAGACAACAACAGCAACAGTGCAATGCAATTTGAATAAAAAAATTTTCTTGCATAATAGCTTTTATGTTTTTGGAAAGAAACAATTTAAAGGGAGATAAAATCTAGTATAAATACGTAGATTTTTTTTTTGGGGGGGGAAGAGATAAATAATACCTAAATTCTTAAAGAACCAGTAAGATAGGATTTTCATATAAAATTGGTCTATTTTTATACCATAAAATTTTTTAACTTTGTAATAAAGCGACAGAAAGTGAATTAAAGAGTAATAGTGATGAACAAACTGGGTTTTGCTTTAATTCAAATAGTTTATTGAATCACATAAATACAGCATCAGCCAATTAAAGAAGTTGCTAAAATGGTGCAGCATTGTTTCATTTGTTGCATTTCTTTTTATTTCATCAAGAAAATTATGATCGGTTTCATCTATTCCAGAAATGAAGTAAACTCCCTGAGTATGCTATCTTTTATTGCATTTTAGCACTTTTACAGCAATATGACTTTTAAATGCAGGATGTTTAAAAATCACTGCGCTTAACTAATGTTTCTAAATTTCTTGTAAAAAGAAAAATGATAAAAATAGGCATATTGAGATCATGAAAAATATTTAAGAGAGGGAAAACAAAACCATTATTTAAATCTGTCAAACCATTGTTGAAGATATTTAGATAAAGAAAATATTAAAATCAGTTTGATTGCACTATGAAACTAGAAGGTTTTTCAAAAAACTCGTTTTAATTTCAGTCAAATTCCTGAGAAAATCAAACATGTTTTGTTGCTTATATTATTTTTTTATTAAAATTGTATCAGTATTTAATGAATGATATTTCTTCCTCTTCGTTTAAATATTAATTTTCATTACTTATTGAGTATATTTTTGAACACAATTTTTTGCTTCAATTCTAGAAATGCATATTAAAGGCGTTGAATACGTAGTAAGCTATACAGAACGTAGAATGTGCAGAACTGAAATACGTCACCTATTTTCCTAATAATGAATTTCCGTCAATTATTGCATGCAATTTGAGCTTTTTATTAAAAAACAACACAAAATTTCAAATAAATAAAGATATAAACATACATGCATTTATAAAAATACATACAATTCTGTAATTGAGTGAAATATTTTAACTCAAAGACATACTTAAATTATAAATATGAATATGTTTATGGCTTATGAATGGATTATGAAAATAGTTTGCAATTTGTTCATAATTTCAAACGTAGCTCTTTTTTCTAAATCATTTGCATAAAACGTACTTAACTTAAATTAAAAAACACTTTAAAACTCAAAAATGCACTTTATTTGGTTTCAAGTAACTGGTATTTAGTAAGGGCTTAAAATCATTATTTAATAGGACCTATAACTTTATGTTTGTTTTTTGAAACAAAAACTATACTTAAACATCTGTTTACTTAGCGTGTTTGGAGAATTTTTTCTTGCATTTTTCAGTATATAAAAGAAGACAGCTAATAATTTTTTCTACAACCAGCATTAAAAGGGTTCGATTCATTATAAAATTAAACTAGAATTAAGAATATTTTTTTTAATTTTTTAATCCCGCATTTTTAATAACTATAGCTTGAAATATATTTTCCATTTTAGTGTTTAAAAAGGCAAAACGTTTCAACCGAAGAAACAGCAATTCATAAAGCCAGAAAAAAAATTGAACATAAGAGAAAATTAACAGATGTGAATGAGCCAAAAATAAGTGCTTTATTTAATCGAAGCTCTGAAATTTCGTCTCATATTATCGCTTTCCATTGTAACTAGAGTGTTTAAAAATGTTTTTTTTTAATATTCTAAGATGAAATATCCTCATGTTTAGTTTATATTTTTAACTTTCCATAATACGTTTCAGAGATGGACCAAACTTTGCCGGATCCTTCTATTGTGTTTTTAGAGATTATATCTACCGATGGAATTTTGAAATTGTTAAGAGGGGTCACATCTATCTGTTGAGTCTTTCTTGGGCACAAAACTGATCTCAAGGAACCCAAAGGCATTTCTAGCAGCATAAAGAGAAAATACGCAGAAACGTATGAAACAGCTGTGTAAAATGTGATTCGACTGACCTGAAATAAAAACAAAATTAATTGTAAGGCATAATAAAATTTGTTAAATTTATAATTACCAAAAGGGCTATTGTTTGATTGAAGTATTCATATACTTGCGTCATTCCTATCAATTAATAATGTCCCCACAGCTTGAAATAGTAAAAGAGCATAAAGAAGTTACCATCAAATACGAAATTTACGTATTTATTTCTACCATACTGAAGAAATACCAACTCTATGTTCAACTTGTTGTATATATATATATATATATATATATAAAGCGGAGCTAAAATATTTTAATCAATTTCTTTGCCTTTATATAAAAAAATAATTATTCTTTTACTGTAAACACTTGGAAATATTTCTATTTGCAAATGAAATATATTTTAATTTTTGATTTTGACTCATCTTATATTCATTGATATAGTTAGAAATGAAACAAGAAAGTGTTGAAAGTGAATACTTTGATCTAGGGCCGAAAAGAGAATCTAATCTTTGTGAAAATGGATAAAGCCTTAAATAAATCACCAACCAAATGAAAGAATTTAAACGAGATGCTCCATGAAGTGATAAATGTTTCTTCTGGAATTCGCATAGCAATACTAATTGGCAAGGAGAGAATGATTTTGGCCTTTAAATAGCAGTTGGAAGGAAATTTGTCTGCATAATTAGAACATACTTGTGTTCCTACAAATGAGAAACTTTGTGTATGTGTTTAAACGTAGATTTTTAACTCGATCAATTCTAGCTTTNCGATACTCCAAACACTGATGTTTCTTCTAATCTATCGTCAGTAAGTATTAAAATATAGAATAAATATAAATATATCAAATAAATACAATAATATTAACGAATAAATTAATATAAAATTGGATATAACAAATATTTCGGACATTCACCAAAGCGACTATGTGATTGTTGATATTCACAGGTGAGAGTCAGAAATAAGGGTATTTAGCGAATATTTCGGACATACACCAAGCGACTGGTGAATGTTGACATTCACCGGTGAATGTCGACATTCTCCAAAATTCGGTGTTTCACCGTAACATATAATATATATGAAATTTCGCCCACAATTATATAAATCCAAAACTAAATCCAAGAAAAATTAAAAAATTAAACTTTTATTATCTATTTTTATTGTTGTTTTATTTAATGATGGTCAAAAATATTTTGAGTTGTAGGGTGTACAAACTTTTACGTCTTTTTAAAGAATGCAACTTTATATGGCAAAATGCAAAATTTGAGCGAAATTGGTCTAATAGTTCTTGAGAAATCAAGTTTTAAAGAAACCGTATTTTTAGATCCAATCATTTGATCAAAAATTATTTAAGTTGGTTCGTTTTTAATTTTGCGCACTGTACATTATCCACAAAAGGAGTGATTTAAGTCAACCGAAAGATTAAAGAATCTTGACTAGATAATTGACTTGCATTATTGTTGAAAATATTTTAGAAGTTAAGTCGCATAAAGTCGGCGATAGGAAATCACGTTTCTTATCCCGCTAAAAAGCAAGCATACTTATCCAAAAAAAATGATGCAATCAGTCAGCCTGATTTCCAAAATAAATAAAAGGGAGTTTAGGAATATTTTGTTATTTTTAAATACGTTTTTAAAATGATCAAACAATTCTTTGATTTCAGACTAGGAAAATAGTTAATATGGATCTTCAGTTAGGAGTTAATATTTCCATGCAGCTGCAATATATGAGTCTTCATAAAATAAATCTATTAGCATATTTTTCATGTTTTAGTGTGGATTGAACTTCAAACTGGTTTGGATATTTCAATTTTTCAATTAATTAACAGAATTCAATATTCCATGCTCAATATGTTCATCGCTAGCTTAATTTGTGTTTAAACAGAAATAAATACTTTTCTTTTAAAAAGTTGCTCATCTTTAAAAGATAAAGCTATGTGTGCTAATTGGAACCAAAAAAAAATTAATTCTCAAGAAAAAAAAAGAAAATACTGTAAATATTTATTTAAAACAAAAATAGTTATAACTGTGCTGAACGGAGAAAAGTATACAATTATCATGCTGTAGGTCATTTCAAATAATATAAATGAATATATAAAAACATAATTTTGGTTAATAAATTTAATTATTCATTTCAAGGCATAAAACCTTTTTCGAGATTAAAATTCTTTTTTATATTTCTTCAATTTATTTCAATATTGATTGAGGAAACCATGATCATTTAATTGTGATATTATCCCTTGAATTTAATTAACATACCTCATAAAATTGTGTTTAATTATAAACAAGAGAAGTTTTCTTTTATTTATTCAATACAAAAATAATTAACTCCGAAAAATATAAGCAAAAAAATATTTGCAATTTAAAAAAATGCGTATAGTCAAAAATTTGCTCTTACCAGTTCAACATGAGAATAAGGCATCTGAGTTCTACTTGTTCCAATACAGTAACTAACTACGAGGAAATGAATAATAAAGGCATAAAAGCTCAGCTTATACAATGGGTCAAAAATCCTCCATGATAAAATTCTATTTACAAATCCTGAAAAAATGCAACAAAGTAAATAATAATGTGAGTACACTTTAATAAATTCCAGTTCAAATTTCGGCAAAAAATGCCGGCTGTATAATACAGTTTTACCGGGACATGTTACGGAACAATCTGATGTACCGTAATTTTTTCAACAACAATTAACGTATTTTTTACATTAATAATTACCTTAAAATCTCAAAATACAGCTATATAAAATTATTGCAAAAATTACAGTGTAATATGATGCACCCAAAGTGCCGGTACTTTAAACCTTAATTTGATCCGGATATTTTTTTGTAGAAATCTTATGTTGAAAGTGGTTTATAAATGATGATTTTAAGAAAATGCTAGTGTTACTAGATTTGCTTTAAAAAGTTATCTTATGACTCCTATTCAGTTTCAGAAAAAATATTTAGTGACAAGAAGAACTGGTTCCTAATCATGGTTAACTGTAGTACAAAATTAATATTTTCAATTCTTAACGGAGCTAAACAGCGAGGTGGCAGGTCAATTTCAAAATGTACCTCCCAAATCACTTCAAAATAAGTGTGTATCTATTATTTTGTATTTATGTTAATGATAGAACCTAGGTAATTAATAAAATCTTTAGAATAAGCAGTTTAAAAAACAAAACTATATTGAATATCTAAGATTCGAAATAAATTCTGTAAGGCACGTAGTAAGAATATAATGCTTCTTTTATTTATTCATTTTGTTAGTCATTTATATCTCTATTACTCGTTTCATTATTTTGTATTTAATTTGTCGTAGGTATTATTATGAGAAAATCAGGCTGAGCTATATATTATTATGCATGGAAATAAATATTTATATTTTTAACTTAACCTACCACCAACACCAAATCCACCAGCAACTATTATCCACGCCACACAAGCACCAAAAACAGTTCTGTGAGCACCGGCGTATACAGCTGACCAATAAGCACCCAATGAATTATCTCGAGAAGAATAAAGAACAGAAAATATGCAAAATAGTAACCCTATAAAAGCTATCCAACCAATTGCTCCGATGCACTGAAAAAATATGAGAAGAGAAATATTTGACTTTTACAAATTCTTATAATTTTTTATATTACAATAGAAAACCCTAAAACTTGTATTTATTCATGAATTTAAAAAGTATTAATAAATTTGTAACTAAACATAAACATTAACTACGCAATAAATAATTAGAACATACCTAATAAACTTAATGGATAACTAAAATAAATATTTCAAATAAATGAAAATAAAGTTTGAAAAAATACATGATTAAAATTTTTTTTTAAAAAATGCATTAGATCTAGAGAATATCTATTTAATTTTATGCTTATTTCAACATTCGAATTTTGAATCCTATATTTTTCGTAAGATAATTTGTACAAGCCCTCAAAAATCCCAGGTCCCAGGAGCATTAGTGCCTCACGCTCCTCTCTCTACATTACATGTAAATCGCCTGTGTCAGATATATAACTTATGTATAGTCATATGAAATAGAAATGTGTGCTACTTATTCACTTATTCCAGTATATCTAAATTTTCTATAGAGTTAGTATGTGTCCCAGTCTTTCCCCGGGTAGCGGAGCAGACCCAGATGATTTGACTTTCACAACTTAACAATGAATATCTTTATTAAATCTAACAGTTACTAGATCGAACAATTCAGTTCCAACAGGGCCTTCGAATCTTAGCTACCTGGTTTTGCCCAACTGTCCCCTTAGTTTCTAAAAAACAGAAAGAGCTAAATTTTTGTCTGTGCGTCTTGAAAAATTTTATTTTAATTGTTTTTTATCTGGTGAGTTGAGTAAACATACGCTGGTTCCGTAAGGCAATGTTTTAGAATACATTTCTTTGCCCAATGTATGCAAGAAATCCATGACGGGAAAACTGACGAATACTTCAATGGTTGGCTGGCATTTCGGATGGTTTATGGTTATCCGCTACTGACTTAGATTTACGGGTATCATTTCTTGTTTCATACTTTTCGAATTTCACTAAATCCATTTCCTCTTAATTTATATATCTTGCAAAACCTAGGGTTTTATTCTTCTACCCCATCCACACTTGCTTCTTACTTCTTCTTTTGTTTGGCTATCTTGTTCAAGCTTGTTTCCACTTTCCACTTTCGTAAACCCATGCTTTTATATGGTGGCTTGTAATATTTTTTTCTGTATCTTTCATTCTTAGTTTGGACGCAGAAGAATATTTTTTCTATTAGAACTGAAGCAGCAGTATGTCTATTTTTGGCATTCTTCTTGCTTTTTTTTTTTCAAATCGTTTAGCTTAATTATGTTTTGTGTTTAAAATTTAAAATGTTTGAAATATTTATTTTGAAAATTAAAAAAGGTTCAAAAATTCATAATTTGGACTTCCAAAGTCTCAGAAACCGTTCAATCAATTCCAATTACGTTACTTAATATATTGCAAATTTTTAAAACACAGAAATAAGACATTTCTGCCCAGCCATTATTCTTGGGCCAATGAATCTACAAATTTTTATGTGTGAAAATATTTTGATTTTAGTACCAAATTTAAAATGCATTGAAAATAGCCTAATCACAGCAAGACCTTTTCAATTTAAAAATTTTATTTAAGAAGTATTTAATTTTATTAATTAAAGAAATTATTATTAATATATTATTCAAATCACATAATATTGATTTAAAGAGTTCGTAGTTTTTTTTCTCTTAGTAAATGAATAGCAATAACATTTTTTAAAAAAATCACTTTTTTTTATTTTATTCTTAATATCGCTGATACTATTAATTTACCGAAATATAATATCTTTAATTCAGACATTTAAAATATGCAGATAAATAATATTTTTAAGATATTTAATATTTTTAGTTAAGATATTTTCAGTTTACAAATTTTAATTAATAAACATTTAATTTTTTTAATTAAAAAAATTCGAGTTAAATTCTGATTCAACTTTCATAATATTATAAACACGAACTTACACGATTAAAAACATATAATATTTTTTCCTCAAACTCTCTTTTAAAAATTCTTTTGCTAAATTTCTTAGAATCTTGCTAAAGAAAGTTAAAAGACTACTCAATAATCGCTACTATTTTAAAAGAACAGCTGCATTAAAAAAATATTCTGCCGTTTTACGATATTCTATTTATTATAAAAACGAATGTAGTTTGACAATATTGTTTCCCAGCGAGTCGATAGATGGAGTCACAACCAAGTAAGGACCATTTTTGTGACATATATTGCTAAGAGCAATTTTTTTTCCACGTAAGTTTTCGTAATATTCAACGTCCTTAAGTAAATTAGTAGTTATTTAATCTTTTAAAGTTTGTAGTAAATTAAATTTTCACCTTTTTCATTGATTCCATTTTATTAGGTCAATGCGAATAGTTATGTTAAAAATTACCAATTTATAATAAAAAACCATAATAACATATTTTTTTTAAAAAATTTCAATGTATTACAGTTAATGATTTTACAGAAAAAATTTTAAGAGGCTTTAAAAGCTAGAAATAATAAAACTGATGTTACTAGAGATTTAATGCGATCAAGAAAGTGCCTCAAGAAAAACTATTTTTTTTTTATATTAATATTTCTGATTAATTTTTGATTTAGACCTAAATTTTATTTTTATTAGATGAGTTTTTAAGACTTTTTTTTTCAAAAATACTTTAAACAAAGTAAAAGTTATTAATAATTATTGACTTCGTAAAATAACGGGTATTTTATTAGTTTGAAAGATAAAATTATGACTCTAATTAGATATTTTAGTAAAATTACATTCAAAACGTTTGCAATGTTTATCATACAAATAATTATCATCTATAGCATCATCATCTAATTTTTATATTGCGTTGTCCACAGTTAACAGCAGAAGTATTTTTCATAAATTAACAAAAGACTCGAAACAAATTTATTTCTCATAGAATATGAAACTTATTTAAAAAGCCCGATTATTAGAAGATTAGCGCAATAATTTTTATAAATTAAACATCTATATAAAATAAAAGTAATAAATTGAAATATATATTTATACAGAATTAAAATTCAGTGAAGTAAGTTATAAAAGAAAGGAATTTTTTTCATTAAAGAATGAAAAAATTTCTTTACTTTTATAACTTACTTCATTCATTTTCATTTCATTCGTTTTCATTTTTTTTCTTTCTAAATTATGAATTTTAATTTTTTATTACCATTCTGCTTCTATGCTGTTCACGCCTAGCTATTAGTATTCCACTTAGCATTCCCAAAGCAAATGGTCCAAAATGACTTAAAGGCCAAGCAATATTTATTGTAAAAAAGAAACTTGGGGACCTGAAAAAAAATTCATGAATAATTAAAGATAAATTACAGGATAATGAGTAAATATTAAATATACTAATATGCATGAAATATGTCCTTATTCGAGGGAAAATCTTTAATAAAAAAAAAATTCTTAGTCATTTACAAATTTGTACACGATAATTGCAAGGCGAATATAACAAAAGAAACTCTAATTGTTCTAATAGCACTCTCCAAAAAAAAACAAGAATGTATTGTTTGCATTTACACCATATTACAATGAAACTAATTTTGCATTACTCTCTTGCGACACCTTATTTTAATGTGAATTAATATTTAATGTAAGTTTCCCCCCGGACAAAATTTTATTTGATGCACAATTGATTCTAAGCAGGTTTTTATGCTGATTTTATTTATGAGAAATTGCTTTGTAAATTTTAATGAAAAATAACTCTTTCTCTTAGATCTAAATAACTGCAATTGAGCACAAATTATTAATATTATTTGGAAGTATGCCGTGTTTGGAAGATTTTTACCTTTTTAATACGGGAAAATGATTCATGTTATATTTCATAGCCATAAATTATTAAAATGCTAAATATAATATTTCTTACTCTTTTAAACCTAAAGTAACACAAAATTACGAAAATCTGAAAAATATGTTTAATTAAAATTCTGCGTCAATGGGTTAAGGTATTAAATTTTACAATATGGATCTAACAACGTTTTTAAATTGATAATAAACATAAATATTTTATCTCTTAGCTCCATATTTAAATTTTCTTTTGCTGTAAATGGGCTACACACTTTTTTTCCTCTTTTATTTTCAAATTAATTTGACTGATTGTAATAAAATAGAGGCTCCTTGATTTTCATGGCTCATGGAGAGCATTCTCCCCTCCCAATGAGATGATCCTGGTTCTAATCCCAGCGATAGGGGGTCGGTACGAATTCCAGACCCGACTCCCATTGACCGAAGTGTCGACGTGAAATATCCTTATTGGTCAACGGATCATGGATTTCAGTATCCTTGCCTTCAGGCTGACCGTGGAAAGATTTCGTAGTTTTCCCCTCCATGTAACACAAATTTGGGTTAGTTTCATTAAGAAGTCCTACACCATGGCAAATTTCTCCCAAATCTTCTAGGAGTTCATTTGTTTCTGGATTGAGTTGAAAATTACAAGGGTATGGAGTTGAACATTAGTATAGTCGTAAGTTCAATATTGGGTCGGCTGTTCAATGACGGTAATAAAATGAAATAAAAAAAAAAGAAATTTGGTAATTCCCATTATTCTCACTTTTAAATTCGAATGAATATTTCAATTTAAGCAACTATACTTCCAAAATATTTAATTTGTTGCTTTTCAAAGGTTTTGAAATATTTATCTAGCAAATTGGTAAGTTTTGATCATAAATAGACAAATTCGTATAAATATTACCACTATTTAATATCATACTGAGAAAGTTCATTACATTGGAATGAAAATGTTTAAGAAAACGCTCTTATTGTAACTAAATACATGAGAAGGGATATTGATATTGAAGGGATGAGATATTGTAACTAAACACATGAGAAGGGAGGAAATTATTTACTAATGAAATTTGAATTCGTAAGTTTTCCAGGTTAAACACCTTTATCAAATGCATTTAAATACACTCTTAAGTATATTTTACATAATTTTAATTTGTTTATTATTAAAAAAATGATTGATCTTTATTCTTACCCGTTAGCAAAATATGGCACAAACGAAGGAGGCAGATCATGAGTGTAAGTTAAAACTCCAACAGTTGCATTACAACCAACGCATAAAAGAAAAATAATTAATATCCCAAGTTTCATTCTCCTGTAAAAAAAATGGTATTTAATCAATAAGCATCAGCGAGTAACAAGATTCAGTTGTTTTGATTTATGAAATAAAATTAATACAGTAGCTTTAGTTTATAGCACATTTGTCAGAAAAAAATATAAAATCATGAGCTATATGAATCTATAATATCACGAGGGTCGTTAAATAAAACTGTTGTTAATTACGCCAATTTAGTTGCACTAAATAACGTACAAAAGGTATACTTTTATTATTGCTTACAAAATAAATAAGTATTAATAATGTATAAGTATTAATATTAAGTATAAATATTAATATTAAGTATAAATATTAATATTATTTAATCTCAGTTCATGATACGGATAGCTAGGGGACCTTAATTTCCGTTGCTACTCGTAAGAAAAGTTTCAGGTGTTTAGAAACATCTATAATTGTAGTGATATCTCGTCTTTCAGTTTGCAATAAAATTACAGAAAGCGTTTCATGTTTAAAAATAATTCATATTTTCATCAAAAATAGATAATTGTTATGTGTGTTTTTCCATAAGACGTAAGAAAATCAATACATCTTAATGCATGGTTAAACAAGGTTGTTATACAAAGAGAAATATTTAAATTACAGGAAATTTTAGATATGTATAATAAAATAAAATGAAGAGTGTGCTTGTGTGACTTTCTGTGTCAGAATCATTTGTACTGGCGTCTTAAAATTTGGACAAGGGGTGAATGAAAAATTTTAGCTCCCCCCCCCCCCACTGCCNCCCCCCCCCCACTGCCTCATCGACGAATATCGTTCAAAAATTTCAATTAGATCGTTTGAGAGAGACGTTAGAAAAAAGAGAATTTTCTCATTAGTTGAGGACTCGAAATCAATACAAATTAAACTGCAGATGATTCTGTTTTATCAAATATTTTAAGTCTAATATCAGTGATGTTCGTGAGCTTATAGCTCTAATTAATGAAAAGAAGTAGTTTATTTCATTTTTTTCATATTTTAATATTTTTTATTAGTAATGTAAAACAAACTTAAGTAATCAGCATAACGTAATTATTATACATTATTTCTATGTTTCAAAAAAGTACCATTATACATCATTTTAACCATTCAATACCAGTGATTTTGACAAGGCGTATGTTTATTCAACTCATCAGACAAAAATATTAAAAGTTGACTTTTTCAAGACACACATACAAAAATATAGTTCTTTCTGTTCTTAGAAACTAAGGGGAAAGTTGGACAAAACTGGGTAGCTGAGATTCAAAGGCCCTGTAAAAACTGAACTGTTTGAACTAGTAACTGTCAGATTTAATATTCATTGTTGTTCATTGTTATTCATTGGTAAGTAGTAGAAGTCAAATCACTCGGTCTTTCCCCACTCTTGGGGTAGGACCGGATACACATACTAACTCTATAAGAAATTTAGTTATAGATAATTGTGCTTTTTAAACGGATTTCTTTAAAGCTAAATAACATTGCTAATTGAATGAAAAAATACTAATAAGCAAGATTAATTAAGTAAAAATAGTTCGTTTATAAGAAAGGTAAACAACTTGCTATCGTATTGACGCTAATGATGCATATTTAATTTGAGTAATATGCACTAATTGAAAAAGGAAAAAAAAAAGCTATGAACTAAAAAGCAAAATTCATGGAGAATCGATACTAATTCATTTAGGTGAAGCATATAAAATCTCTATAGCTTTATTAACATCAAAGATGGCTAATTATTTTTGGTAATATTTTCTAAGTGTAAAAAAAAGAATAAGCTAGGTACTAAAAAGCAAAATAGCTGAAAGATGATACCAATTCGTTTCGTTTTGGAGGAAGGAAAAGTTTTGTTTTACTCTTTTTGATACCAATGATGCATTATCAATTCTGGTATAAGACAATTATTGAAACAAAACTATAAGTTATATACTGAAAAGCAAAATTATCTTGATAATGACTCCAATTCGTTTAAGAGAAAAATTAAAAAAACACCATACTATTATTAAAGCCAATGATGTTTAAACTCTTTTAGTATACACAACTGATCAATGGGTGTGTTTTTTAATAAGTACTAAATATAGAAAAAAAATTGGTGCCAAAATACTTAGGTAGAACTAAGATTTTATGATCCACTAAAAACTATATGTGTTGGAGAAAGTTGATGATTATGACAGTTTTTGTCTATCAGGAGATGACTTCGACCAATAGCATTATGGTTTCAATTCTTTTAAGAGAAAATTTGAAAATCAACCTACTATTATTGACGACAATATTGCTAAATTAATTTAAATAATAGGTACTACTGGTATTGTGGTATTTGTGCAGTTTTAATACTAATTTTTATAGAGAATCTGCGGAAAAAGGTCTTTTACGTGCCTTCGAATAAGATGTGTGTTAGAGAAAATCGCCTTATTGGGGTAAATTTTATGTATCAATAGTTAGCCACAAGCAACAGCATGATGCAAAATGATATTGATTACATTTAATGTTCATTTTGATGGGATGAGCAACTAAAAACGTGCTTTGCTTATTCTAATAAAAATAAGGATATCAGCTAAGGCAAAAAATATTAATAAAAAAAATATTAGAATTATTTTAGCTTTATTCATTGAGTTGGAAATAATAGTCAGCTTGTAAATAATAAAATTTATATCTAAGAAAAATTAAGTTAAAGTAAAAATAAAAATATTAACTTATTATTAAAATTCTGCAGAGGCAGAGTAATTTTAAGTAGCATGACATTAAAAATTTCATGTGACAAAAATATATGTCCCATGTAAAATTTCACATGTCAACACATTTTAAAGATCCTTTTAAAAAAGAGTGGTATTTGTGTTTATAAAATTATTTGCCGAGGGAAGGAATTATTGCAAGGAAGGTTTAAAACTCGGTTTGCCTTTTCCATGAAATTTGTTTGAAAAATATTCATTTTTCTGAGAGATTCACTATTTAATAAAAATTTTCATACGTTTTAAAGCATAATTCAAATTTCCGTACAATGTACATTTTGAGCTAAAACGATGCCTAATACACAGAGAAAAACAACAATTCAGGTAAAATTACAGTATTGTATGATAATGAAATTTCGAGTAAAAATAATTAATAATAATAATTTTGATTAATAAAACAAAACTATGCGGTGTTTAAGACATATATTTGGTTTTTTTTTCGTTCATATGGTGACAGTTAACCGGAAATTTTGGTTTTCAAGACTATAGTTCTTATTAACCTACATTTAGTAAATATTACAAAGGTGAAAAGTAAATTAAACCGAATAAATGATTTTTAGGCAAGGTTCTAAGGTATTGTGATAAAGTTACAAAATTTTATCACATTTACAAATTTTTATCAAATACTACAAATCTACATTTTATTGTTGCTTTCATAAAAGTTCAAAAAATTACCTAGCCTTTTGGTTTTCCCATTGAGCCGAAAACACTGCAAATCTTACCATATTTCGGCAGTTTTGTCCGCACTTTTTCTTTTGTCATTATAGCAAGAATCAAAAATAGCCCTTTGGATTATTACGCCTTTGGTGTATTAATACACGCCGTTGGTGTGCTAATAAAAACTGCTAAAATTTCTAGAATCAAAAGGAACCGAAGCCGAATTTTTTTTTTATCCAATTACGTTGATTCATATTTTTTTTGAACCCAGATAGCACTTTTTTCAAATATTTTTATTACGAACTTTGAATTTAGTTTTTTTTTCACCAGGGCACATTAAAGGCCGGAATTAACACGAAAGATATAATAGGCATTGTTAAAAATTTGTATTCATTTATTGGCCAACAAGTATGCAAGTATCTGATAATTTTAAACTTTGATATTTATCTTGAGCCACTGCCAAATATTAACATGATTATGTTTGTAAGTGAGATAATTTGTAATTTGATATTCAAATATATATATTCAAATTTTTTTTATCATACACAATTAGGATCATTTTAACATCATTAGTTAGGCAGATATTTAATGAGTATACATTTTTATTTGAAATTTTGTGTTTAGTTCTTTTAACAATTTAGGACATGTACGCTTGAAATCTGAATCCTGTCAAAATACCTGGCAGTCTAGGCCTATGTACAAGTATATAACTTGGACAAAAATACTACAACTGCTGCGCTGCAAAAAAGTTTGGATGAAATTACGGCAAAAAGCATGCGTCATGGACCTTGTATGTTCCGTAAAATCCATTTTATCGTAATATTCATTTTTACCGTAGCATAATGTATTGTGATTTTGTTTACAATAAAATTAATTTAATTACAATAATTCAGTGATTTTACAATAAATATTACTGTAAAAATTAAGGTATATCCGAGATTTTGCTCAGTAATACTTTACGGTAAAAACACTTTTAACTCTTATTGGAGCCAGAATTTTTTACTGTGTATGATTTTCTATCTAGTGAGAAATAAAGCGATCACGTGTAACGAAGTGATTCAAAAGCTTTTCCAGGTTTTTACGAGCGATAGTGGTGGTTGTCAGTGGTCTATTAGTTTTGATTAGTGGGAGTAAACCCTGGATTTAAAGAAACTGAATAAAATATTACCTAAGCATCCTTACGTTATGCTTTCATGGTGTTTTAAAAATTAGCTGCGTTATGTATCATAAAGTTTTGAACTATAATACTGTTCAATTGTACTTTTATAACTTTAAAATAGAAACGTGAAAATTGGGGATAAAAGACTGATTGATCTAATAACAGAAAACAAAAAAAAAAGTATTTGAGTGGCGAAATGAATAAAAAAATTGATGCTAAAATGATTAAAATAAGAGAAATAAAACAAACTTTGAAAGAATCCAGCTTAAAACAATCCCCATTATTGTTAGTTGAGACAAGCATGAGACAAACCATAAATGAGGAAGACACTGAAAAATAATAAAATAATGAAACTGAGAAATACAAGTGTGATTATGTTTTATAGTTAACTTATTATTACAAATGGGTATAAGTGATCATCATAGTTAAATTATTTTAAAATGAAAGAAAACTTTTGAGTATATATATATATTTACACGAAAAGGATAAAAAATGCGAGAAAAACGAAAAGAATTAATAAATTATATTTACTGAGCACATAAATTGCAAGAATATAGAACTCATAAAATAAGTTTAAATATTGAGAAAACTTGGAAAATAATGAAGATTAATTGAAAAATAAGAAGAAAAATTACAAAAATAAAAATATTTTTGAAAAAATATTTAAAATTTTTTTATGCATCTTAAGACAAAAAAAGAGAGAAAAAGTATTAAAATTCCAGAAAACAAAATAGAGAAGAAAAGATATAACCTCTTCATCAGCTCACACGGTTATTTCAACATAAAGGAGTGCTTTCTAATATTGTATTAATATAGCCGAAGCAACATATATCAATAGAATAGAGTGAGGAGCACTCAAATCTTTTTTTTTATGAAACGAAAATAGAACACATTAATTAAAAACAATATATGAAATAGAACAAATCAAGCAAAAAGAAGAACATAATGAGTAAAGGAAATAAATAACATAACGCGAAATGGAATCTATAGGGCGAGGAGCGAATTCAAATTAACTTACGCGTGCCATTCAAGAATGATTTAAAGTATTTTTGAAATACGATTTCCAGATTACAAAATATGAAGACAGAAACGTAAATAAAGTAATCTCTTATGACACGTTTTTACTGGAATTTCGTAAAATAAGTATATCGTTATCAATATCGCAATATAAGAATATGGTTTGAAATATCGTTTCATAAGTATTATCACACAAGGATAATTAAAAAGTAATAATTATCAACAATAAAACGTGATTTTGCAAAAAGGTGACTTTTAGTCTTTTTATACCCATTGTTCTCCCCTTCATTCTAAATTTAAAATTTTGCCTTTGAAGGTATTTGGGTACTTTAAAATCCTCCCCCCCCACAAAAAAAGCAGTCGAAGAGTGTTAATGTTTAAAGACATGTTAATTCTGTAATGCAATTGAAAAATCAACGAAGTGAGAAAAAATTTAAAAATGAGATTTTTTATATATTTGACATTTTTATATTGTAAGTCAAAAAATTGATACATTTTGTTTTATGTTTTTTTTTTTTTTTTTCAGNTAAAAAGTGACAGAGAGGGAAAAAAACAACAACATATAACCTTGCAACAATAATAGTACAGGATAATCTTCATAATAAAGTTGAAGCTCTGGTTTTGAACAAGATATTATGTCAGCTGCTAATTAAGAAAGAACAATCAGAATTTGAGAGATTTTCCTGGATTATTTTCAGGATTATCTGAAAATCTTTAATCTATTTCTTTGTAGTGGCGGTCAAAAACCTTTAAAATTAAATTTATAGATTTAAAAATAAAAGCGAAAAAGTATAAATTTTGTCTATCACTTAATAAAATAAAATATGTTGTTGTTGTTGTTAATTTACGTCGCACTAGAGCTGCACAATGGGCTATTGGCGACTGTCTGGGAAACATCCCGGAGGATGATCCGAAGACATGCCATCACAATTTTGATCCTCCGCGGAGGGGATGGCACCCCCTCTTCGGTAGCCCGACGACCTGCGCGCGAAGTCGAGCACTTTACGGTAGCACAGTTTAACGAGGACCAATAACGCACATAGATATTGAGAATAAGATGGAATATTGAGAATAAGATGGAAGTGTTTAAATTGTATATGACGCACAATTTTAAAAAATGTTGTAAGAGCTAATCATTAAAGTAAGCTATGCAATTAATAAACAAATTAATAAAGGATAACTAAAAAAACAAATATATAAAAAACAAATTAACAAAGGATAACTAACAAAAATTAAGCGAACAATTAATAATTAGCAAAAAACTAGTTAACAAGAAAGCACAAAAAAATAACAGTTAATAACTATAGAAAACAAGCTAACAATTAATAACTAGTAAAAAAATAAATAACTGTTACTAACTGTAACTAATAAAAAATTGGACGAAAGAAAATAATCCCTTAATGAATGTGCTTTTGTAGTACATATTATTTTATTTCACATTCAAAATTATTATCACAAACTATTTAACACAGTGTAAAATAGGTAATTAAACAACTTTTAATCGTATTTTTTTCATTGTGTGCCGTCAAATTTCGAAATCGTTAAAAGTGTGCCGCCACAAAAAAAAGGTTGAGAATCACTGCCTTAGATAATGGCATAAAAACTGTCTATTCGGTAAAATTTACTTTGTAGGTTTTACTATTTGTGTGGTAATAAAACCAGAATTCCTGGTAAAGCGCTACCATATGAATGGAAAAATTACCAAATGAATGACTTATGCACTGTATCTTTCAGTTTTAATAACCAGAATTGTGTTTTTTGTTTCGCGAGAAATGTTAATACTATACAATACGGGACTTTTGCTAGAATTTTTCTCTGTGTTATAAAATATTCTCTTTTATGAGTAATTCTTAATATTTTACTACATTTTTAGTTAATATAATAAGTAATTTCAATACGAACTTTTCATTCTAACTCGCTTTTTTATACTTAATTTTAATTTATTTATTTCAATAAAATATATACATGAATTTATCATTATTTTACTAATGTGTGTGATTCAGCACATTATTTGAAATTGGATCATATATTTTTACGAATAAAACTTAATCGAAACGCTTCGCTTAGTGTCCTGATTTCCTGATTAATATAAACTTAAATTCAATTTAGTATATTTTTTTTTAATTGTTATTTTTAATTTTTAACTGATTTGACAATAATTCTAAAAGCGGAAAACAATATAATATGTAATTTAATTAAATAATAATTAAAAACTATAATAATGAAAAAACAATTATTATTTCAACTTTTCCAAATATTTTAATTAATAACTATAATCTCGATTTCTTTCTGCGGTTCATAACAAGTTATCACTTCAATTTCTTATTCAAGCTATATAATAATAAATACTGTTCTTACTTGCTTAAACAATTGAGTTAAAATAATTGGGTACTTACAAGAAGAAGAAGAAGATCACAGATACCCGCACATGTGACATATAACGTCAGCGTCAGCTGATCACGGTAAACAAAATGGCTAAGTTTCTAAATTAGAATGTTATTTAACGTGAAATTAGTTAAATACAGCGTTGTATCGATCATCGAATTTGCTGAAATATGATATTTTCTCGTCTACGACTTTTAGTTATGTTAAATTTATTATTTGTTTATATATTTTATTGTAACTGTGATATATTTTTGTTTTGGTTATCTGGCAACTTAGTGGAGTTTGTTTATGTTCTACATGGTTTCCTGCCTGTCTATGTGTTAAGTAAGAAATATATAGAAAACACATTGAAATCTTTGCAAAAGAATCTTGAAAGAATACAAAATGTGTCAATTAAGAGAATTGATGCTTGACGGGTTTGGCTTATTTGAAATAGAATGGGAAGAACAGTTGCTAACGTAATCAAGTACCACGTTTCAAGAACCAATCACGATTGAGATACACTCACTACGTCTCTTGCAGGTATCCTATTATGTTTATCTGGACTTTTAAGAATAAGATTTGGAGTGGCGGGCAAAAGAAAGATAAATAATGAAGAAAACAGGATAACCTACACCAAAAAATCAAACACGGTGTGTGTAAATTTTGTTTATTTATTCCATTTATTTTTAAAAAGAACGAGACTGGTTTTTTGGTTTTGTAGAATGGAATTTCATTCTGATTTACAAATGCAATAAATCACATTTTTAATTAACGCATTAGTAATTCAGTTAGCTAGGAACTAAAACGAATAGCTATTTCCTGATAATTGATAAATGGTTCTTAAAAGTCCTGACTATATAAATTGCTCCCCCATTTAAGTGAAAATGTAATTTTATGCTTTAACTAACCATTGCTTCTAAATTCTTTTGAAAGGATATTGAAACACTGAGAGACATACGTGTAAAAAACATGTATTATGTCAAGTGTTTTGCAAAATTAATTTAAATTATTAAAAAAAAAGTGTCTAGATTTTTCTTGTTAAATTAATAAAATTATTTAGAGAAAACTTACTAGCAGACAAGTAATACATCGAAAGCTAAGGGATAAGCTTGAATGATTGTAAAATATGCTTCATTCCAGTAAGTGTGTAGATTTCGAAGGTTTGCTGAAAAATAAAATCAGGAGTTGTAAAAAAAATTATTCCTTTAATGTAACAAAATAATCAAACAAATGCAGACATATTCATTTGAAACTAATCAAGGGAAACATACTCAATAACTAACAATTTTTTAAATTTAGTATTAGACATATATATTTAATTCTCTTTATGTATGCAATATCGAGACAAATTCAGAGAATAATCTCAAATCAAACCATAAGTAAAAATGCCCCAGTTTTTGTATTCAACGCTCTAGGTAAAATGTCAAATTCTTGTTTCCATTTATCATAATTGCTTAATTTTTTTCTTTTTTTTTTGAGTTTTTCCTTTGTATACTTCTCATTTTAGGCAACTTTCTTAAGATTTTAATTGATACTAAAATTGACAAGGAGAAAGTCGAAAAAAAGTTATTGAAGACAGATTTGTTCATTTTTATTAAAAGTTGCGAAAAATTGTCTTTCAAATATCTTTTTTTTTTCAAATTTTATATTAGTTATTTCCTCCTAAAATTGTATTAGCGGATATATCTATTCCAAAATATATCGACCACAACAAAAACAATTGTCGTTTTCGTATAAATATTTTAAAATGAGGTATCGAAAACAGTCCACTATGCCACCAGTTAGTAACAGTTTCTTGCGTTAAAAGTAACATTTGGCAATATTTTGGATTACCAGCAGATAAAAAATAAAACCTCATGTCACTAAAATATCATTATTTAACATTATACATTTTTTCAAATATGTAGCATTCGTTTTTCTCTTTTATTTTATTTAGATCAGCAACAAAAATTAACTCGAAAAAACTTTCATTATTTAAGTACACACAAAAAATTATATAGTCTTTTCTGTTTCTTAGTTAATAAAAAGTAAATTTTTCATAAATACTCAGTTATTTATAAAATTACGATTAATAATTTTTTCTTCATTTGGGAAATGAAAAAATTATAAAATATGAAAAATAAATAATATTAGTTACTATGACAAATATAGCATTATACCTTCTGATGTCACAAAATATCGTCAGACGTCATGACTTCAGAAAATATCGTTTTCCAACAAATATTGCGATAGTATAATATTTACGATATCACCGAGAATTAGTGATCTCTCCCTTACTTCATCCAATGCGCATGCGTCGTCCAAAATAGATAAAATAATATTGTTTTAATGGTTTCCCAGGGAATCAGATTATTTAAAAATTGCATGATTTTTTTTTTCTTTTTTTTTTTGCTTTTTTCTTTCAGGTTTTAAATTTAAACGAGAAGAAAGATCCCTGAATATGTTTATCTAATTTCTTTATTTGATTAACACAAGGATTACACAATTAAAAATTTTTAATCCTTGTGTTAATCAAATAAAGAACGGATATTACAATTAAAAATTTGAGAAAAAATAAGCTGACGAAAATGGGCTTCTCAAATTATTTTTTTTAAATAAAAACAATCGCCCTAGGAAAAAATAAGATAGTTCATTTTGAAAGAAAAGATCTGAACTTGACGATAAAAAAAATCAAAATTCTAGGACGTTTTATATCAATACGATGGGCTTCAAAGTGTAGAAATAACGTAAACATCACAAAATAATGCACCAGAAATGTACCTAAAAATTCATAGTTAAAACTTAAATTAAAAACGAAAATCAAGGTTCGAAATTCGTTTATAATTATACTTATTTTGCCTCATGTTGAATGTCGCATTTTCCTAAGGTGTACAAACACAATTCAGTGCGCAGACATCCACACATACACAGATCATTTGTTTTATTATATATATATATATATATATATATAATAAAACAAATGATCTGTGTATGTGTGGATGTCTGCGCACTGAATTGTGTTTGTACACCTTAGGAAAATGCGACATTCAACATGAGGCAAAATAAGTATAATTATAAACGAATTTCGAACCTTGANAAACATAACTGGTCTAAACAGAGATATATCTGTATATGAGGAACATATTTTAAAATTATACACATCCATTATCTAAAAAAGGGAATCCGAGTAACATACATAAAGTATTACATACATAAATTTTATGAGGCTACAATTATTTATTTGTAAAGAGGCTGAGTCAAGCTTATAATACTTAAATACACTGCAGAAGAGATGATTCTTTAATTTACAAAGGAAATTTAATACCGTATAGTCACATAATCATTAGACATTTTTACAGCTTTTATAGCAATGCTTGCTTCTAAAAAAGTTCAATTGTTTCTGCGCTGTAGTTTTTGGTTGATGTCTTTTCAAACATGAAAGTAGAAAGCAGATTTTCGTCATGTTACATTTACTTTTGGAATCAAAATGTAAATATGTTGTCCGAGCAAGGAACAAAGTTATGCTATATGCATGAAAAGATGGTTTTAATGTCACACTCAGTGTATAGACAGTGCCACTGACAGTATGTCAATGCCAAAAATGGTTTGCGAAATTTCGATCCAGTAATTTTGATGTGGAAGATGCACCATGATCTAGAAAGACCATTTTGGCTAATGAAGACATAATGAACGTATTAATTGACGCAAGCGGTGAATAATAATTCGTGAGATCACTAAAACATACATTTATCGAATTCCTCCTTTCATAATAATATGACATCTCAAATTTCAATTTGAATCTTAAAACTAGACATATAGCTTCCTCCTGTTTTTTTAAATGGAATTTTGTGCATCCGCAATAACGTCTATGATTTTCTGTTAAAGCGTAATAAAATGATCCATTTTTGATGACTCATCACTGGGGGCAAAAACTGGGTTGTATACGACCGACAATGCTTTGGTCTCTATAAAAAGTTTAAGTAGTAAAACACTTACGTCAAACAAGGAGGAGAAATTCATCTGGATTTGTTTGTTGCCAGAAAAGAATAAAAATTCCATGAGCGTGGATCCAGAAAGATGGCAAAATATATTGGATCAATATGTACAACATATAATTTCATAAAATATTTATTCACTATTAAAATATTGTCGTTCTGAACAACCCAAAAAATCCCCAGTTTAATTCTCATAGCAATATCTAAGTTTCTTTTTAACCACTTAGACATGATGCAAAGAATATGGAGATTGCATCGGAACACGTTGAAAGTGTTATGATGAATTTGAAGAAAAATATGTGATTCATCTGCTTAACTATTTGTAATAAATGTATAACATTTTAATAATTTACTTTAAGAAAATTATGTCATCAAAAATTCTGACACTTCCGAATTATTCAAAAAATTGTAATTTAAATAACTATCCGGAATTAAGTTCTTTCTATGAAAATAAGCCCTAAGCTACTTTCATAAGTCTGGCAAATATTTAAATCAAAAATTCTCCCAATAATCTAAGAAATAAAGGTCCATTAAGAAAGAAGTAACGATTTTCCAACTTATTTAATGAACGTAATACCACTAACTTTGGCATTTATTTTTTTATATGCAACGACTTCCTGGAATCTGATGCTTATTTCGACAATATGCCCCAGGAAATGTTGCAATGTTTACTAATGTCGAGAAAAAAGAAAGCTCGTTCACTTTAAAATTAATTTGAGTTACAGAATATGTTTGAAACTAAGCTGCATCTTATAAATTCTTTTAAATTATCCAATTATCATACAAAATTAGAAAACGTTACGCTTCATTTTTGTCATTAAAAATGACTTAGTCTTAATTCAATGTTTAATTTTTTTTTCCCATTTAAGTATAGTCTTTTAGATTAAAAATGTAAACCAGGAAATGAAAATATATTTTTATCTAAATGAAAACAGATTTAATCATAAATTTTATCACGCAGTAGTGTTAGAAATACTTGTGCTATATCTATTTTGGTAGAAATTGCTGTATTAAGAAAAAATGCATATTTTACGTATGTGTTGCATTGAAAAAAAAATTTGTGTATTTCTACGCCAAAAATTTTTGCAACTAAATACTTTTCATCAAAGTGGTGAAGTGTAACACTATATGTAACTGTTCAATCTAGTTGTTTCACTACACCAAGAAATAAGGATAGTTCCTGGTGTAGTGAAACATCACGAATGCTCTTTCACACTACTCGGTGTTAAAGAGTTGCTCCATTTTTGTGATTCAGAAACGCTGAAATTGAGAGTCTTTCTCTCAAGGTGAGTTTCAGCTTCCATTTTGTTTTTGTGACTATAAAAAGGGTTCCAAAAAAAATCTTAAGCACCATCTAAGTTTTTCAACCTAAATGGAATGAACAAAAATCCGGTTTGATAGGACAATAGTTCAGAAATAATAAAAGATTAACTAAGTATAATGCGCAAAAAATACAATTTTGTGCTTATATCTTTCTATACCCACTTATTATGCCTCTACCTATTTGCGCGCTCGAAACTCTTATCTGAGAAGTTACGTATTATGCTGATAAGTGTTTTATATTTCTTTTCTTTTCTTTACTCTGAATCGAATGAGATCGAATTGAAATTGATAAGACTATTAATATTACAGATAGGTGAAACAGTCACGTCTTTAATGATAGAAGCATCGAAATTGGTACACATTTACCGCATATATGAAGCTTTAATTTACGACTGTGTGGTCAAATTTACAATTAAATCTATTTTAATTTAGATAAAAATATTTTTTCATTCAGAATGGCTGTCATATTTTGATGAATGAAATAATTCCTTATAACTTCGTTTGTTTTTAACTACATTGCCCTTTTTTTCCACCAATTTCAAACGTCATGTCTTAATATAACACTAAATATAGATAGGATAATGAAATGCTTAGTTTAATACGGTAGAATTTCAATCCATCGTAGCCGCATCTTTCGTTTTTCCGTATGTATCGTCTTGTTTTAACGATCCAGTCTCTAATACTATTCATATAATGGTAATAATGCCCGTTCAGATCATTTTTGAAACTGGCAGATCCCCGTTGCTATCGTTCAGAAATTCTACCGACATTTGAAGAAAAAAATGAAATTTATTTGTTTTAAGTAGAAAAGCAGTAAATTCTGATGCTAATAATGAAGAAAACGTGGATTTGTTACTGTTTGGGTAAAACGTTGTAGTGTCACATAGAAAATAAGACGTGAATTTCACAAATTTATTTCAAAACTAGCACACAACTTCTTTCTCAATTGAAAAACGAACAATCTCGAACTAATACTCGAGACAATTTTTAAATTGATCTGTACTGTTTTGCTTAACTTTGCTTGTTACATCACAAAGCCCATAAACAAGAGGTTTGATGTTTATGCATTAGATGATCGAAATATTGCAACTTGTGTTGTTATCTGTCCAAAAAATGGTTGCAGAAACTGACGAAGTGCAAAGTGATACCGATATAGACCGAACTTAAATATACCAATTAGAACAAACATTTGTGAAAGGTCTCAAAGCCTGTAAAATATTGAGTACTTCTTATATTCGCACTTTCAGAAAATGAGCAACAATCTGTAACAAATGTCGACATTTTATTGCTTGGCTGAGAAAAAAAAGGGAACCAAGATTTTTAAATGATTTAAATAAATAAATATATTTACTTATCCTTATTTTGCATCGTAAATTTTTTGCAGAAATTACTTTTTTTTAAATTTTTTTCAATTAAAATTATTTTACTCTCATTGTAAATTTATTAATTTTCGTACATTTTCTAATTATTATTTGATATTTTATGTGGACCTGCATTTGTCGTTTTCCGGTATCTATAGTTTGTGATCAATGGTCAATAGAGAAACGATCTATCGAGGTTCTATTGTGTTAGTTTCTTGACTTAACTTAATTAATAAACATTTTTATTGCAAAGCCTTGTAAATTTATCTAATTACATCTGTAAAATTCGATATAGATATGATGAATTAAAGATATTAAGTGCTCTTTAAATTAAAATAAAAACTACCTTTTTTGGTTAAAAGGTTGTAGACTGCATTAAGACTTCCCTGATTAGTGGCTGATTTTAAGTGCATTCCTGATTAAAACATTTGAATTTGAAATGCAAATGGTGACATATAAATTGAATTAACGCACTAGTAAACAACATAAATATATTAAAATATTCCGACAAGACAATATTACAACTCCATAAAGAAACGTTCTTCAGAGATAAATACTACATCTATCTTCCATCATTATATTAAATAACATTCTTACCTGTTTGCATGTAGAATGCTTTAGAAGGGAAGAAATAGGTGGTGCCGACAATGACCCAAACAACAGCTACAACACAAATACCTCTTACGCACTTTCCAGAAAGTAATCCATCAGTATCTTCTTCAATATTTTTCATCAGCCGTTTACTATTATTGCAAATTGAAAAACACAATGACACAGAGACACACCTTTCTGTAAAATGAATTAATTTATCTCACTTGAAATAAAGAATAGTTTTATTTTAGAATGTTGAAAAAAAACATTTTAATAAGCAATGAGGTATTATAGCAATGAGTGATTATTACCAAGCTGACCAATCGATTAAAGTAAAAATTAAATAAATTTGCATAGCAAACTAATCCTTGAAATGCGATAAAAACCAATTTGCATCGAAATAAATACCATAGCACAAAATTATTATTGTCATTCATATTTATTACTATATTATCATTCTTATTTATTTTTATATATACTCAAAATTACTATTATATTCTTGTAGAAAGCGCCCCGGCTGCATTCTTGGGCTCGAGGGGGATCGGCCAGATATGACAGCGGTTTCAAGACTAAATAGTGGCCATCTTAAAAGAATGACTTTTAGCTGCGGTTGCAAAATTTTTCCAACCTGCAATAAGTGTCATTCAGAGCCAGCCTCTCTGGAGCATATCCTGGACTGCCTGGGTCTGGGTTTGGAAGACCTAAAAACATCTCCACTTCTTGTCATTGACTTTGCTAGAATACATGGACTCATGGACCAGATATAGCTGTTGCTAGGTCATGAAGAATTAGTAACAACAACAACAATTATTATCATTTAAGAAATATCATCAGTTTAATTATTTATTTGCTTATCATCATGCATAAAGTTAAATTAACTTTTGTTCCTTTTGGCTCTGTTAATTCTTTGATTAAAAATGTTTTGCGACGTTTTGCACAAGTAATATGTTTGTAAACATCTATCACTCTCGCAACAACTGCATCAATCTTGCAAACAGTATTCTCGCATGTATCACACTTGCAAACATTACTCTCGCCTGTATCACTCTCGCAACACATTCACCACTCTCGCGAACATTATTCTCGCGTGTATCATTCTTGCAACACATGCTTTACTCTTGTAGACATTACTCTCGCGTGTATCACTCTCGCAACGCATGTATCACTCTTGCAAACATTACTCTCACATGTATCATTCTCGCAACATATTTGAATCCAGTTACATTTGAATCTAATTTCATTAGAATTTGAATTATTTAGAATCAAAATTGACAGATTTTGAACTCCAGTTACATTTAAATCAACAGGCAATACCGGCTATAAGATATGCATACTGGCTATTAAATACAAGGGCGAAATTTTTAACAAATTAAAATTTTAATCGAGACCTTATTGATAGGAAATTTAGAATTCAGGGAAATAATTTACTGTAAACTTACTATCATGGTCTTCATCTGTTGGTTTATTGTTTCCTGAATGTGACCACCAATCTAAAGATGTGCTTAAAGATGCTAGAAGAACCAGAAACAAAAAGATACAGCTGAAAAGGTTAACAAAAAATGTAGCATTTCCTAAAGTTATATACAGCTTTAATGAATCATAGTTATTGTGCAATAATAGCCAAAATTGAAATAATTTTTTTTTTTTTAATTTTTGATACATGATAATATAAAGATGAATTTTTGTACAAGAATAATATAAATGATGACAGTTCAATTATTTAATGTGTGGAATTTAAACGCATTTTAAATACTTGTTGATGAAAATACACAAACTGATTGGAATACAATAAATACCATCGTATCAAGCCACTTCTATCTGCAACTATCTACTTTCTGCTATCTACTACTGCTTATGCTAACTATCTACTTTCCCTAATTAGAAACTTTTTCTTATAAAACAGTTGTCACATTGCGAATGTCGTATTAAATTTCATGAAATCAAAAAGTATCCTATTTAAGTGCAAAGGGGAAGAAAAAAAATCAATGAACGATTACAACTGTATTTTTATAGAAAGAGTCATACATTTTCTTTTAAAAACTTGGCAACAAATATTAATATTTATTTAATTGAAAATCTGTTATTCATTTATTATAAGCTGTTATAGAATTCTCTAAAACAAGGAACACTGCTCTTTTTTTAAATAAATAATTTAATAACGATAATTGTTTATGACTTGGATGTAAGATTATAATATACCTGAATACATTAAGATAATTATAAAATCAGAAATTATTACATGATTAGTAGTTGATAGTTTTCGACTTCCACTTCGGTTTTGACATCGCATCTGTCCAAAGAGGCTGATCCAGGAAAAGGAACTAAAACAAAATGTTTCAATCATTAAGTTCAATCAAGAATTTTTAAAATTAGGCATTAAAAATTTTCGCTTCTCGTTTTTAAAAAGATAAGTACATTGATGCAAAATTAAATGAATACTAGTTCAATTAAATAACCATTAGCAATAATATGAAACGATTTCCAAACCACATAATAAATTAATATGAAGTTCATGACAAAAACGTTCGGTCTTAAATTCTTTTGGAATTTAAGACAAGTCTTATAGTGGTAAATTCCCGGTATTTTGAAGTATTGAAAGCTACAGTTACATAACGTTAAATAAAGAAACGGTTTTTTTTAATAAAAATACATTACGCTATTATGAGAAAGAAAAAAAATTAATAATTATACACATACTTCATAATTAATTAAAATTCACTTCCATTAAAATGTTATTGCAAAGCGAATATTTTTCTTCTCTTCTATTTGCCTTCATGTTGTAAGGTTTTATTGTACGTATAAGATTGTTTTAACCATGAATATTAAAAGAGAAAATTATTCGACACTAGCTTGTTGTCTCTAGCATGTTGTCATTAGCATATTGTCACTTTCACGTTTGACACTAGCATGCCTTGCAAAATATTCAGCAAAGATAATTTACCCCCAAGATTTCAATACAGTAACAACATTTGCTTTTACAAATTGAAATATAAAATGAATAAATATCTATGGTATATGAATAATATGAATAATATTATGATGGCGAGATATATTTGATAATATAAAATACTTCCTCAAATTCAATAATTTCACTGTAAAAAAAAATTTGTATTGCAGAAAATTTTTGGTATGAAGGTTGCGAGAAATTAACCGTATGCTACGGAAAAAACACGTTGGCAGAAATTTCCTGTAACAAAAGACTATAAAAAAATGTCACTACGCACCGGATATTTTATATAGGTCTGGGTATGCCTGAGAAATTTGGCATCAAGGTAGCTGTATTGTAGTTTGTATAGTAAAGCATATTTCGAAAATTTTGATTAAATGTTTAATTTATCCATTTTTGCGAGATTTTATGCAACTTTTTAAGCATCAAAAACCATCATATTTGTAAGAATCGTAGAAATTTTATTTTTTTCCCATCGTTTAGTTCAGACGTTAACAAAGAATCTCCTGTTCCTAAACAAGTTTTAAAAAAATGAGTATTTTCCTTTTTAAAAAATTTGCAAAGAATCTTCCACTCCTAATGAAGTTAACGAAATACGTTTCGTTTGGAAAAAAATTAGACAGAAGTTAATTAATCTTTTTATCCTAAAAGATGTGCATTTTGCTAATTATGGTTTCTCAAAAACGGAAACATATATATTTAATTATTTGAAGTAGTTTCGTATCAGCTACATTCTTAAAATGATGAGAAAAATAAAAATAAAGGTTTATAGTATCGCTAATCTTTAATTGGATTCTAAACGTCCGTTAAACTTACAAGAGTGTCTAAAATACATGGAAAAAGCACTTTGTAAAAACTTGCTGCTACTTGTTTGTTAGCTAATTTGTGTGTATTGTTTAAATTAAAGACTATAGCAACTATATTGTAATACACAGATACATGGTAACAAAAAAGTGTAGGGATCACTTTTGTGGCTATCTACCACTAAAGTTTTAAAACCTTTTTTCATATATAGCTTACTGATCTAAAGCTCTGCTATTAGACTTTCAATTGCAATACTATTTCATAAAATCACAAAAATGCCTTTGAAGAAATTTGACAAAAAGCTAATTGGTCAAGTACAAGCATTTTTAGAACTTCGATGGAGCCACAAAATTATAGAAACCCATTTTAAAAAGAAAGGTATTGCGATTTCACTCNATGCTCCAAATTTATCATCAAAATTTGTTATTTAATTAATCTTTCATTTTTCTTTAATTATCTTAAACTTTATCGACTGGATACATCTATCAAATTTTACAACCCATTCTCTGTATGTAATATATCTTAATCATTTAATTTACTACGGTATATTTTTTAAATTAAGACTTACTTTAAATTATCGGCACATATCACAAGTTAAATTTATAATTAAATTTAATTTTTTTCACTGGTACACATAACATTGTTTTAACTAAGAAAATTAAAAGAGAAATTTATTCGACACTAGCTTGTTGTCATAAGCATGTTGACATTAGCATATTGTCACTTGCACGTTTGACACTAGCATGCCTTGCAAAATATTCATCAAAGATAATTTACCCCCAAGATTTCAATACAGTAACAACATTTGCTTTTACAAATTAAAAAATAAAATGAATGTCTATGGTATATGAATAACATGAAAAATAATATGATGGCGAGATATATTTGATAATATAAAATACTTCCTCAAATTTAATGATTACACTGTAAAAAAAAAATTGTTGTATTGCAGAAAATTTTTGGTATGAAAGTTGCGAGAAATTTTCCGTATGGTACGGAAAAAAACACGTTGACAGAAATTTCCTGTAACAAAAGACTATAAAAAAACATCACTACGCACCGAATATTTTCTATAGGTCTGGTATGACTGAGAAATTTGGCATCAGGGTAGCTGCATAGTAGCTTATATAGAAATAAAATATTATAGAAATAAAAAAATATAAAATTTGGATTAAATGTTTAATTTATCCATTTTTGTGAGATTTTTTGCAACTTTTTACGCATCAAAAAACCATCATATTTGTAAGAATCGTAGAAATTTTGCTTTTTTCCCATCGTTTAGCTCAGACGTTAACAAAGAATCTCCTGTTCATAAACAAGTTTTAAAAAAATTTTAAAAAATGAGTATTTTCCTTTTTAAAAAATTTGCTAAGAATCTTCCCCTCCTAATAAAGTTAACGAAATACGTTTAGTTTGGAAAAAAATAAATAGAAGTTAATTAATCTTTTTATCCTAAAAGAAGTACATTTTGCTGATTGCGGTTTCTCAAAAAACAGAAACATATATATTTAATTATTTGAAGTATTTTCGTATCAGCTACATTCTTAAAATGATGAGGAAAAGGAAAACAAAGGTTTATAGTATCGGTAATCGTTAATTGTATTCTAAACGTCCGTTAAACTGACAAAAGTGCCTAAAATACATCGAAAAAGTACTTTGTTAAAACTTGCTGGTACTTGTTTGTTAGCTAATTTGTGTGTATTGTTTGAATTAAAGACTATAACAACTATATTGTAATACACAGATGAAATTGCGAAAAGCAATTTATTACGCTTCACTTTTGTTTAGCTAAATTTTTTTTAAACTTACAATTTTTACTTAATTTAAAATTTCTTTAATTATCATCTAGTATTGTAGTCTTACATTTTAAAAAATTGCTTGTGTTTCTGTACGTATTGCATTATTTAATAACTTGTGTATAGGAGAGAGGGATTTGTAGAATTTTCTTTTTAAATATGTATTTTTTATAAAGAATGTTGCTTTTGATTATGCTTGCGGTATTGTAAGAGAACTATTTATTTGGTACAACTATCAAAGAGAAGAGAAAATGGAATCCCCTTCTTTTGAGGCATTGTCTTTTCTAGTAAAAGTTGACTAATAGTTTTCATGAAACATTACTTACCAAGTCCAGCTAAGAAATTGATATCGTGGTTCGAACATGTAGAAGGAAAACATAAGCCAGTAAAATGTGTCAAATAAGGTAGGTCTATGCGAATGTAAGGAACAAATTGTATTACCTAGACAAGAATTATAACATTTTTTAATTGGTAATTTTGATCATAATTTTTTTTTCTCAGTACACAAGCATAATAAAAATTTAAAAGTACATATTTGAAAGAACTAGATAGATTAAATGAAGAAAGAATAAGATACCCTTTTATTCGCGAAGTAACTAGAAATAAGTATTTTTATAATTAATTCAATTACTACTTCATTTTATGAATAAAAGAGGAAATAGGAAAACTTATTTTAAAAAAAAAAAATAAATCTTAGTCTCAATTGATTAATTCTAATAATTACAAAAATATATTAAAACTTCATTTTATGCATCTGTTATTCATTTTATGCAATTTTGTTTGTAAGAATATATATCAGTCTAATTTTAACCTTTTTGGAAATTGAAAGAATATATTCTGAAACATATGTTTTAAACTTTGCTGTTTTAAATAATTGGATACTCAATCTCGTAGAATTTACAAAAACCTATAAAATTACGCCTTTAATCATTAGATTAAATTTTCAAAAAATAAATAAATTAAAATCAAAATTTAACAAATGTTATACCGCTAAAACAGGACTATGAGAATTAAAACTTAATTACTCGCTGTGTGAAACTAAAAATATTATCACTTTATAATCAGGATGCAAAACACTTTGCCCATTTTCACTTTATCTAACTAATAATTTTAATCCCAATTTCTTATATATTAAGAAGACTTTTTTTTACATAAACATGCATATTTTTATATTTCAAAATACTGACTTTTAACTGAAAATTGGATTAGATAATGCAATTTAACCCTACATTATAGCATTGTAGAAACCTACTTATTTTAGTATCAATGAAAATATTATAACTGTGCATTAAAAGTGATCATTACATTCTTTTAGCAGAAAGTAGTTTTCTAACTATAGATTGACTCATTTCGAACCCGTTTTAAATTTGCGTGCATTCTTTTGAATTGAATTTGAAGTTTTATTAAAAAAATACATAATTTACTTACAAATCTTCTGAGGATCATTTTAAAAGTATTCTACAATTTAAAAAAAAAACAACTAAAACGTTATGCTGTAATTTTTTCCTACGCCCTAGACTTTAATATTGGATTTATTATTATTCAATTAATTAATTAATTTTCAATTTGCATCAAATATCTATACTTCTATTTATTTTTCATACCTTTTTTTTCAAATTTTTCCATTTCTTGAACTTAAATTAAAATAAAGTTCAATGGAAAAAAATAAACTTAACATTTTCATGTGCATTCTAATTGAAAAGCAGTCATTTTTTTACTATTGCTAAAAAAAAATAACGAAATTTTATCAAATGAAAAAAGAAATTCCTAATTTTTTGAAATTGCCGTACCCTGATCCTTTTCGAAGGTATATATGCCGAAGAACGAATGAAGTTATTATAATGAAGTTATAAACATTTTATGGTCAGAGTTCCAAGACATTCAATTTGCAATCATTTTGAGAAATCAGTTATATACTTTTTAACAAAAAATACTCTTCCTTTTTTTCTGGGTGTTTTTTTTACAAAAAAAAAATTCATCTTATTTTAAACTCTATTCTTAAGCTTCAAAATAAAGCTTGCCGTAATGCTTTAAAAAGTCCGATTTTTTTAAAACTAAGAATCTTATTGTTTTAAAACAAAGACCCAATTGTATGAATTGAAAATATCTAAATCAAATACCTTAAATATAAAAAAGAAATCTCCAACTTTCTCTCGATTGTAAATGCAGTTATTATCAAAGAAATGTTATTGTATAATAAAAACAATTATTTACTTCCTTTAGTTTTCGAAGGTCAGAGGCGTTTTTTAATCCGTGTTGATATTCCTCTGCTGTCTCAACCACAGTTTTCCGTAGTTGAATTTTTATTCGGCAATATTTTCCTCGAAACATTTCTTGTGATGGGTCCGAAGTTTCTTCCCCTTTACTCGAGATTGACAGGTCCAAGCATTCGTCATAATTCCCCATCGTATACGATGTCCCCATCAATATTCCAGGAGTAGTTTTCCCCAAACTGTCGATCACTAGTTTAGGTTAAAAACAAATAGAGAAGGAAACGTTATGAGGAGAATGTTTTCATTAATTGTTTTCAAAATTCAAGGATGAATATTCAAATAATATTAATTATGCAGAATTTTCTTTGTTTGTGGATCTTAGTTGAGGAATTGTGTTACTATAACAATGACAATCATAATGAGAATTATCGCTCTAACCAAAGATCATGATTGTTTCCCTCATAAAAAATGGAAAAAAGAACATTTATGCAAATTTTTCAATAAATATCTGTTAGAAAATAAATTATGAAAATACTGGGTGGAGCAAATAAAAGTGGCCGGGAGAACAGAGTTTCAGATACAAAGTAACAAAGGAAATATTTCGCTAATCTGCTTACAGCAGATGCTTAAAATGACCATTATTCATCTCTTGACACTTTTGGATCCTTGTCAGCCAGTTGCGGAGGAAGCTGTGGTTCGGGAATAACTTCAATCCGATCAAAACTGCTCTGCTGCAGTCCTTGAATGAGGATTGTTGGCGATATACTTTAGATTTGAGAGTTCATTGGCAGAATCAATGTGATATGCCGGTCTCTTGCGACAAGTGTCTGGTCTGGTTGATTTGTAAGAACTCTGGAGCATCTGGTTAAGTGCATCCACAATTTCTGGAATTCAAACACGTTCGGGAAAGTTTTCTATCTTGTTCAAAACAGATTCTGTCTGGCGCCATTTTGTGACTAATTATTGCATGGTACTTTTTACCGACACTTTGACACCATTAAATTCATGAGCAAACAACTAACCACGCACTTTCCACGAATTTGTTTTAACGTAACTTTTCAGAACGAACACCCTCTGCTGCACTCTGTGAGTATGATCTTCGCCTGTGTACTGATCAAGTCACACTGACACAGCCAGTACTAAGACCTGAATCGATTGCGTAGTCTAAATACACATGGCGTGGTAACAGGTATACGTTGGCGTTCAATTATATATCCTTTCCTCTGAGCCACTTTTATTTGCGCTACCCGGTATAAGCCCACTTTTAATTCATTGAATTCGTGTGTTTCACAGTTGATAACTCCAACTCAGTTTTTAATTTATTTTTTTAAATTTTTAAACGTAATGAAATGTACTGAAAAAAAGAAAAACTGTCATGTACCAATAGAAAAATAACTATATTTTGACTAATTGTAATAGATAAAAGAGAATACTGATATATTTTTTTGAATAAAATATATTTTTCAATATGATTTTCAGTCATTTTAGCTAAAAGAAAACAATAAAATTATAAAATTTGATGCCAACATTGAAATATTACATTTAAAAAAAATTATAGCTCTACAAAATATAAAACGATAATTGCTGCCTTACCATTTCTTGTATTCTCAACTGATTCGAAAATCGCATAATATGGCCATTTATAAAGAAAGAAGATATTAATATCTTTGCAATCAGCAAAAAATCAATAAAAGTTATAAATGTATATGCATCTAAATTATTCATTTATTTCTTAGATAATGAGTATTTACTAGCAAATTATTCATTTGTTTTTTTATTTAATCCTATTGAAGTATAATTATTTTATTTCTCACGTTCTGGATGGTATTTTCCTGTAATATTTACTTATCATCGATTTTTGATAGAGCATTTTAACTTTTGATCAATTAATTGCGTTTTTTATTTGCTCAATAAAAATTAAAGGTAGTGCTGCATTATTACAGTATGAAATAACCCTACGATATTATCCTATAACGCAACCTTTTGTAATTAATGTGCAGTTAACATTTTATTTTTAATTAGCGTTTTGCAATTATTACAGTTACATTAAGAAATGCATGTTATATGATAAATATGTTACCGGTCAGAATATGCAATTACATTAATGCATATAAAATAACTATTTAAATTTGTTATTCGAAGACTTCATCGTTAATTTTTATTACGTTTCGTAAGACATAGAAATAAGACGTAACTTATAAATTTTTAGTGTAAAGCTTTGAGTTAAAATTCAATTACAATTCAATTTCTTTTATATTCTGGTTTTACTATAGAAAGCGATGGCTTTGGTATTCGTAAGTGAACCTATGTTATTTATCGACTTTAGAATACGAACTGCGCGAATCTCAGTTTTTCTCTTCTGCTGTCTGGGAGTCTATAATTCTTTTATATTTAGTTGAACCTTGATTATACATGGAATTAGCTAGAAAGGGCACAGCAGATAACAAAAATTAACGTTTCATTGATGGTCAAATAAAATGAAGTAAGGTGTAAATACTAAAAAGAATTTCGGAATGCACATGCAATTGAAATCTTCGTTCTACGTCTTAATCACTAAAACAACGAATAGTTTAAAAAAATCTATGCATACTACATAAAAAGTTCATAAAAGTTCATACATAAAAGTGTTCACTAAACTTTAATAAAAATATACAATTATCGATCAAGTGCGATATAAATTCTAATCTCTTCTCGGAACTCGCCGATAATCGAGACTTTTATGAGTTGTACTCTTTAAAATATTTTATCTTGATGATAAATTTTAGACTGAATTTTGAATTATGTTCAGTCCTTTTCTCTATTATTTCGTTCGAATTTCACTTTTAATGCCGTCGTTATTCTTCTTTGTGCTTTTAATGCAAGTTGCCAATTCAAGCAAGCCTGTTTGGTGAAACCAAGTGAATTTAAGGCAGAGGGTGCGTTTCTTGTTCTTCAGTGGCGCCATCTTTGACGAAGAATACGACTTCAGCCAGACACTTCACAACCTGTTTATAGGGTGGATCCATTCCTACATCCACACATCATGATTTTGGCTTGAACCAGAGAACAATCAATCTCCAATCTAGTCCCCCCAGCGGTATGATTTGTTATGGGAACAGGGAAGACATTGTGACACGACACATTTAACGCGCACCAGTAATCATTTACTACATTGGGTGTCTTCGGCGGGCAGAGATCGAACTCACAAACCTCTTGAACATGGTCTCAACGCCAACTAACCAGGCTATCCCGGCCTGTAATATTCTTAAAAAATATGAAAAATATGATTGTATTGCTTAAAATGAGAAGAATATTTTGTATATAATGTCTTTGTAGGCATTTTTAATCACTTTAAAGTTAGATTATTATTTTCTTTTTACTTCCTTTTCTTTTATTACACATTTTTTAACTATATTAGTTAACTGTTATAATGGTAAAAAGTTTTATTGTTGTTTTATTTATTTTAGACTGTCATTTTTGGTTCTACAAAAAAGAGATTACTTCGCTTACTTTTAAAAAAGCATCAAAATTCAGTGGGCTCGTATTTCGAACCTATGGCTATTTCTGTCACAGGTCGTGAAGTTCTTTTGCAATAATTTTGCTAAAGTCTTATTCTTATTTTCTATTTTGTTTCTTAATGTAAGATTTAATTACATTATAATGATGGAAGCATTTATATAAACAATAAATTTTACTTTCTTAATTTTCGTTCATATTTTTAGTAATATTTACGGTTAACTTGTTGTCTTTCTTTCGTTTGCTATGTATTAATGATCTTTTCATTGCATTATTTTTATGCTAAAGAAAATACATCGAGATTTCAGTAATTTGTCTGTTTGCTACTTAATTTACATAAATTATTTTTTCGAACTTTTTTTCTTAAAATATAATAGTACATATGAATAACACAAAAGAATATTGAAAGATATTTTACTAATTAAGATTGCATCCAAATTCATTTACTCAGTAAACTAAAATACGTCACAGTTTAGAATATATTTTTTTCAAATTATAATAATAGTAATAATAATTTTTTATTTATCACACCCAAAAGGTACTTGCATGAAAATATCGAAGCACCTAATTTTATATAATCAAATTAAACAAGGAAAACGCATTAATACTATAACTTGAAGCAAATAAAGAAAAATCTAGAAAAAAAAATCTAGATTATTACTGCCAAGGTGTATCCTCATAAAGGGAGCTAAGAAATTAACATTATGCATAAATATAAACTAAATATAGTATAAATTAAATTAAAAGCAAATATAAATTAAATTAAATTAATCACAAATTTAAATTAAATTAAGCACAAATATAAATTAAATTTACTTCATTACAAATTTACTATAAGTATCAAAAAGAAATTTTGAAACTAATACTTACTTTTTATAGTCCATCCTTTCAAACGACGAACATTTCCGAATATTTTCATCATTCCTGCAATGCATTTTGGTGAGAGTTCAGCTGCTCCAGATCCACCGACTACTTTTGGCAATAACTGTTTGAGAAGGCTATTAACAAAATCCAAAATTTCCTTCTCAGCTTCTTGGAAAGTCTGTTCTGGAATTTCTGTTGTCTCTTCAACAATCCCTTCATCATAACCTAAAGTAATATTCTCAGAATTAACAATAACCGTTACATTATCTGATAAAGAACAGTTACCGATAGATATCACAGCTACTAAAAGTAAACATAATGCGTTCCTTAAATACATAATTTCTCCGCCACCTTTTGCTAACGAACGGCCAACTAACTCACACAAAATATTCACCGAAAATTAACTTTCAGGAAAATTTTGACATTTCTTCTTAAACGTAGCTTTAAAAAAATGATTTGTTTTTGTTGAAACCTTGAGAAAAGTTTCCTTTAAAAAATTGAGACAATAATTTTGTCTTGATATGTCAGTGGTGATATCACATGAAAGATCGGTTTGAATTGACTTCGTATAATACATCTAAGTTGTGTTGTCACCTGCGAAATGTGAATGAGCAACTTGCTCACGTTTTTTGAAACAGGTCTCAGTCATATGTGGTTAAGGTAATTAAAAATGCAACCTTTATATTCCTTTAGTATGCCTTATCAGAGCATAATTTTACGTTAGGATTTATTCCGTTGTAGAAATGAACAACACCTTTTAAATGTACCCTGCAATAATAAAAGTGCAACAAAACTGAATTTTCAAGTTATTTATGTATAGATAACGTTCAGGGTGTCATAAAAAAAGATGCTTTTCATCGAAACTTGTCCAAAAAGGTTAAAAATATAGTCCTAAAAATATTTCTTAGACTGCTTTATTTGAAACTATTTTAGCTTGATTAGTTTTATTTATAACAATTAAGTATAATAAAATTAACTAAAAGTATAATTAAATATAAAAATATTTATTTAAATTCTCAGACCTTTCGAAAATTTGCATGAGAATCAGGCACGCAACGTTCGTTTTTCAATGCTGAATAAAAGTAAAGCGATATTTTTTATTTTATTACTTTACCTGTGTTTTATACAATAACGGAATTTATTGCTGCTGTTATATGTAGTCATTATTTATTTCTAAAGAATAACAGTTAACTGAACTAAAATCGACAATCACTACATACATCGCAATACTGCAGCCACACTGTAAAAAAAATATTTCTCAAAATTAAGTGAAAATGTGCCAAAAAAAAATGGAACAAATATAGTTGAAATTGAAAACCCCAGTATTTAAAATACAAACAACATACATAATTTTTGAGCAAATTACATAGTGTGTTGCTGAGGAAGAAATGAGTTAGAGTAACGCTTGTGTGCTGCTGGATGGATTTGAATAGAAGAAAGCAAGTACTAGTAAGAAATATTTGCTTTTTTAATAATGTATTAACAGTGTGTTATGGATATAAATAAGTAATAATAATAAAGAAAGAACTAATTATAGTAATTAAATAGTGAAAATAAATAAATAGTAAAGTAGTTTTCGTTAAAACATGATTTTTTTGTCTATGTCTATGCTCGTGTGACGAACAAAGGTGTGTATATGCCCGGGGCTTGAAAAAATGACAAGAAAGTTAATAACAAAAATTTGATCAAAATAGATTAAACTCACATTTTGAATTCAATTTTTCGTATAAATTATTTGAAAATAATTCTGTCGTATAAAATGTATTAGTTCCACAATATTTTCAAAATTTTTTAATTAAATGTAAGAAATATTTAGATTTCAATGACCATAGACTTAATTGCTACAATTGTTCTAAAACACATTTTGTTATCTGTAAAATATTTCCTTGGGCAAGTTATCTTATTGCTTAAAATGTGATTTCATAAGTTATGTAATAATAATACATTTAGTTTGTCTTTAATAGTCTATTGAGGCACTCCATGATCTGGTTGTTGGAAGCCTATGCTTCTTTTTTCGTGCACAGGATGCCGTAGAAGATAACCACTGCATACCTTTATTTGTTTCAAAATGATGTATTTATTTTATTCAAAACTTAGAGATAAAAAGAAGTGAAAAAAAAGCTTCATAATTTTATTTTATTTGCTTGTTTTAATGGTATAAAATTCATTAAAAATAAATAGAATTCTGTTAATATTTTCATACTACTTCATACAAAAAAGAGAAAAGTTAATTAAAAGAAAATCAACAAATATGAGAGCATTAAATAGAATATAGACTTTTATTGGCCGAACTCTTGAAGAAATTCCTATGACTTTAAAAAATAAATATTGCTATTAATGACACGCATTAAATTTTTAAGAATTGGTGCTGCCATCTCTTAGATACATTATTAGTTATTTCCAAAATAATACACTTTAAACGTGCCCAGATCCAACACTGTTTATTCGAATGCATGCCATAAACAACAAAGCATCAATTTGATCCTGCATAAATAGTAAAAAATAATATTATATAGAAAACATCAAAACATAAGATGATTTTTATTAATTTATTTTTTTATATTTTTATATTTCATTTTATATCTTTCCTTTGGGAAAATAGAAGGTCGTGTTTATTAAAAACCACTTAGACAAATTTAAAAATGAGTACAGAAAGCTTCCAAGCTAAGAACTGAAGATCGAAATTATTTTTAATCAATAATCTGTTGAATTTTTGTATTTTTGTAAACATATTAGTGCGCAAAAATGTCTTCTTTTTTCTTTTTTCCTTTTTCTTTCTTTTTTTTTTTAAATATAGAGTGCTGCCGTCTATGGGAAAAAAGAGGCACTTTTATTATTTTACTCATAAAATTATTTTTAATAAAATATGCGAGATAAAGTTAGCTTTATATTTGAACTACTATATTAATTCTTAAGAAGCTAAAATAAATAAAAGGAGATGAAAATTAATTTCATTTCTAAGGAATAATTAATGTCGAAAAAATTCAAACGTTTTCAAGCTTATGCGCCTATATCCCTAAATAATGATGCTTCTAAGCATTTTGATATGGGAAGTAAATTGTTCTTACCATTGAACTAAGTAAGAAGAAAGAAGAATTTTCCTCTGTAAATATCTAAACTATTAAAATATTACATGAAATTTTATAAAATGTATAAAAGATCATACTAAGAGTCAAAGTGTATTACAAGGATTATTTTGTGCGTCGATACTTCGAAACGTTGATGATAAAGGAGTTGATGATAAGGATTTAATTAATATGAAATATATAAATTTAATAAAGTTGTTGGAAAATTTATTATCCCTTTTTTAGTAAACAAGCAATGAATTAATCAATAAGTTGCACTCAGATGAATGATTTTTAAAATGTTTGAAACCATGCGTTTTTAACTTATTTATTTATTTTAATAAAAACAGTTAGGTCTAAATCAAAGATTTTGCTTGTCACCCCAAAATGTCTTCTTTAAGTACATTATGAAGTTAAGAAAATATCATTTAATAAGAAAATATTATTAATGGATCATTTTTCTTTGCATTTTACAATTCTTTTCAAGTTGTTACGTGATATATACTAGCTTCTTCAACACATTGCATTTTTCCCCAGAGCTTTACACACTACAAAAATAATACTTTTAACTACTACAAATAGTTTTTAGAAATTTTAACTTTAACCTTAACTTTCTTCTCTGCTAATTTGCATTTTCCCCCAGTGTAATTAGCTTCCTTTAAAAAGTGGCATTATTTCAGTTGTCTCAGAAAATAAAATAACACATAAAAACTAAAATTCAAATTAAAAAAATATGAAAATTTAAATTTACTTGCTCAATCTTTAACCTTCAATTTTTACCGGTTTACTTTAATTTAATAAAGAAAAAGAAAGAAACCTGCAATGTAATGATGCTATGGAAACTAACGTATGAAACATACATCTAAATCTCATCTTATCACAAAATGCAAAATTCAGATACTCATTCGAAGTTTTCTTTTCTTTTCTTTTTCTTCTTTTTTTTTCTTCTTCTTCTTCTTTTTTTTTCTTTTTTTTTCTGAAAAGAAGAAAAGACAGAAAAGACAATTAATTTGAAAGGAAAGACATTATCTCCATACCTAACATAATGTTGTTAGCAACAATGAATTTAAGTTATAGTTGCTCGTTGGGGCAGTGAAAGAATAATAGAAATTTAATTACTCCAAAAATAAGTCAAAATTTTGTTTAAAAAAAAATCCTATTTTTTATTTTTAACTATAATGCGTGGATGCAAAATATTATAATTTTACAGCGACAAGTTTTTCCTTTACTTTGAAAAATTCTAAAATATACCGAAAACCTGTCAATATACACTTTTTATTATTCCCAACTATTTAACAAATTTAAAATTTAAACAAAGTGAGACATGCTCATTTTCAAACATTTTACGTTGCAGCAAAAAAATTACAATTCTTTTGCAAAAAAATTTCGTTTAAATGAATTTCGTACAGTAGAAGAAGAAATTTTCAACTTTGACAAATAATAACTCGAAAGTTGACGCCCGCATTAATGACATTTCGGTATCACAATATGCCTTCAACGTTTCTCAAAACTGTGCAAAATATGATATTGTTTCATTTTTAGATTTAGAAGTACAAAAGTGAGAAACGCTCTCTCTAAAAAAAAAAATCCGAAACAGAAGAAGCGGTGAATTTATTTTTAATATGGAGAAACTTTTTTAATATTATCAAGTTTCATCTTCTGATCATTTGAGATACGCTTAACTCAATAGATTCATGAAGAACCCACTTTATTATAATTATACCACATGCGTCTAACAGAGGGAGAAATTTCGCCTTAAATGTTCAGTGATAGTTCAATGATCAATATTTTTGTTTAGTATACAATCATTGGAGATACTAGAAATTTTGTTACATGTCATTAGTTTTCAATGAAAAAAATAAATCAATACATAAATAAGTAAATAAAATAAATAACTAATTTAATTAGATGTATAAAGCTTTAAAATAATTTGTAGAGGACACTTTTTACTTTGCTTTATTGAATCACCTAATTTCCAAATTGAAATTTTTTACTCAATATTATTGAAATATCTTTTAAGAAAGATCAAATCAAATCTTCCTAAACAATTCTCACAAACTCTTCACAAATATTGATATAATCTGAAGATAACATTTTCCAGAGATTTCCCTTTTCAGAGACACGTGTCTCTAATTAATTCGAGACTGGCGAATCACGCTGGTTATTGTTCGACATCCAACTAAAACTCTGATAATAACCGAATTCACTGCTGTGCTTTTGTATAATGCATTTAACTGAAGCTTATGGACTCTTGAGAGGACTCGAATCTATAATTAAGCAAATGTAACAGGGCACATTAAATTTCAATATTTAATGAAACCATTTGAAATAATGCTATTTGAATTCTCGACTCTGATTTAGAATCCTTTAGATCATACCATCAGAAGATTAAATATTAAACTTATAATCAATGATTATTTCTGGAAAAGGGGAGCAATAGGACACAGAAGCAGCGGAAGTTATCTGAAGTCCAAAGCTTCATAGTTAATGTAGCAAATACGATTAAGTCTGACGGCTAAATGGAAAGA